CTCCTACCCCCTTAAGAAACAATCGTATAAGCCTAAACCCTAAACCCCAAACCCTATACCCTATACCCTATAAGGAATCCCTTACCAAAAAAATCTCTTAGCACTCTAGAAGCCCATGTTCATTAAGGCCAATCCTGACCATCTTTTTCAGAGAAAACTTCAGAGAAAATCTTTTCTGGAAAGCTTTACACCTACACCCTGAACCCTTAATCCTACACCATAGACCCTGAACCCTAAACCCTTAACCCTTAATCCTAAACCCTAGACCCTGAACCCTAAACCCTGAAGCCTAAAGCCTAAACCCTAAACCCTGAACCCTAGACCCTTAATCCTTAACCCTTAACCCTAAACCCTTAACCCTAGTCCCGGTTGAGTCAATCCAGCTAGTCACCGACTGCGACTCTAAACCCGAAACCCTTAACCCTAATCCCTAAACCCCAAGCCCTAAACCCTAAACCCACCAGGGACCTCGCGAGGAGCCTCTACACGCCAGTTTAATTTCACAAAAAAATGAAACACACAAGCCTTCCCAAGCTCCCAAGCCTTCCCTCAAACCAAAATAAACAAAACTCGAGACCCTATTTCCAGCCGCGACTCCATCATCATCATCATCACCACCATCATCATCATAATAACAGTCGTAATCTTTAAAACAAAAAAGATGGTAATGCCACATAACCATAACACTAGTAATGGGTTTTTTTAAAATAACACTAGCAACCTCCACAACACAAAAAAAAAAGGAGATTGTAATAGCAGGTATAGCTTTCGCGACAGTCAAGCGAGGCCTCCTTAGGGGGCCGGCCAGCTGTCGGCCCAGGCCCGTGGCCTGCCGAGTGGAGGGTTTAGGGTGGTCTCAGGGGGTTGAGGCTTTAGGGTTTAGGGTTTAGGGTTTAGGGTTTAGGGTTAAGGGTTCAGGGGTTAAGGTGGTTTAGGATTTAGGGTTGAGGGATTTGGTGTTTGGTGTTTGGGTTCAAGGCTTTTCGCTGAGGATTTAGGGTTTAGGGTTTAGGGTTTAGGGCTTAGGGTTTAGTAGGGTTTAGGGTTTAGGGTTTAGGGTTTAGGGTTTAGGGTTCAGGACTTGCGAGGTTGGCTCTTTGCTTCGGTGAGCTCTTGGCCGGATACCCTAAACCCTAAACCCTAAGCCCTAAACCCTAAACCCAAAACCACACCGAACCCTAGACCCTGGCTACAGAAATAGATGTCAGAAAAGCTTATACATCCGCCTGCAACAAGATCGCCGAAGTACCCGTGTTCACTCAATTTGATATCTGGAAGCCCTTCAATGGTAAAGGCCTCCTGTTTAATACACATGGTACGCGCTTAAAGCACTTTGTGAAACAGTGTAGAGACTGTACTATAAGCAACCATCCCGAGTATACAACGCGGACTACAGAAAGATCACAGGCGAGTCATGGAAAACCGACAGGATCGGACGAGCCAGCGGAAGACCGTAGAATGAAAGGGGAGGGGTGGGGATGGGAGTGGGAGTGGGAGAGTGTGGGAGAGTGGGAGTGGGAGAGTGGGAGTGGGAGAGTGGAAGGGTGGGAGCCTTCATCTCAGTGCCAACGGCATCCCGTTGTCTGACGCAGCGTTTGGTGCTGGGTGTGGGCTTTGCGGGTTGAGGAAACTTGGTGGAGCAAATGTGTCCCTAAGAATTTCTTAAACTTAACAGCCGATCACAGAATTGCCTTGAGGAAGGTGTTGTTCTGCCGGTCCGCGCCTGCGATGACCTCGCAGGGATGGCGGAGAGCGAACAAGCAGGAGTTTCAACTAGCTCAGCAGCAGGAGGATGACGAGAAGCCCGAGATATTTGGGCCTTAGTTACCGGACCAACCCTCAGAAACTTGAAGCCTAAAGAACGAACAGAACCGCTAAAGTGGACAACCCACACTCTCAAAGAAACACGGCTGTGGCTCCAAGTCAACCACGTGACAATCTCCAAAGCAAAACTAAATTACACACTGACACGATCAAATCTTACATGGGCAAGCTTGCCAAAAAGCAGATCATTCCCATCGCGAAGGCTAAGAGAAACCTGTAAAGTCAATTTGTGGAGTGCCATGGCAGCAGACAGAGCGGTCGTGCTTTCAAAAGCAACCCAGCGACAATACACACATGAAGGAACTGACATTTTGGCCCCCATTGAGGTGTACTTACTTTTGCTCGTTTTGGCGCATGCTATCATGTCCGGCCGACGTTCAAATGATCGAACCAAGCAGCTGCGCAGCAACATGGAAACGGCATCACACAAAGCGCCAGAACCGGGTGCCGCTTCGGCTGCGACTTGCACGACCGCTTGATGGGCTTGCTGGCGGGTGTTGGAAGACTCGGTAATCCTTGAGGCGTAGCGGCTCGTCATCTCGGCCCCAAGGTGGACTTACACATGGCACCCCTCGACCCTAGACTTCCGTTTTCCGACGCTGCATTGGCATCACCAGTGCACGGTTTCCTTTTTGGAAAGGGGTTTGGGGTTTGGGGTTGAGGGGCTTTGGTTGTGTCCAGTGCAACCTCAGTGCTCCAGCTGGCCAAAACGCCAGCCCGGTGACACGAGCGCAGTGAGACATTTCAGGACCCCCCACCGAGCAGGCGCGGCCTGCTTTTCAGGCTGTGCAAGGTGGAGCCTGGGTCCTGTACCCTGGCAGGGGTCAGAGTCGGAACATCTGAAGCCCGAAAGACCGGGTTTCAGGGTTTGGGTCCCTTAGTGTATAGGGGAATAGGGCTTCGGGTCCATAGGGTTTTGTTTGTAGGGGGGACGCTCCATCAATCTTCTTTTAAAAGCGATAGGAACCCGAAAATACTTCAAGGAAATTCCTTCATGAAAGGATACTGGACCCACTGAGAGCCTAAGCCAAGGGCTTAGGTTGAAGGCTCAAGGCTTTGGGGTTTTGCTTTACGGCTTGGCTCTTCCCTAAACCCGAAACCACGAATCCTTGGCACCTTGTGTGTCTACGTGTTTAGATGTACAGTATGTTAAGTCAGCTGTAAGGTAAAGGAGACTTTAGGAATTCCGTAGGTTTCAGATTCAAGTAGGTTTGGAGGCTCTTAGAAGTTAAGGGGAGAACCTTCCTGTAGATCCTGTAAACCCTGTACACCCTAAATAGCCCTAAAAGTTGCGCTAAAGGTCCTGAAGCCCCCAAACCCTGAGAACCCGAACCGGCCCTAACCCCCCCCCCCAAAAAAAAAAAACAAAATAATATATATATATATATATAGCCCTCAGCATCCGCCAGCGGCGGCTGCGCCGTGCTGAAGTCACCGAGGCGTCTCGCAGCTACTGCCCGGCCCAGCCTGGCGGTCCAAAAGTTGGCCCCAGAGCGAGTACCCTAAACCCTAAACCCTAAATAAACCCTAAACCCTAAACCCTAAACCTTAAACCCTAAACCTGTGGTGCTTTAGGGTCTCGAGGGTTTTGTAGGGCTTTGAGTAAGTTGGCGCCCTGTAAGTGCGGCTCAACCCCGCTACTTCTGATTTGGGATTGGGGGGGGGGGTTTTAGGGTTTTAGGGTTTTAGGGTTTTTAGGGTTTTTAGGGTTTTTAGGGTTTTAGGGTTTTAGGGTTTTAGGGTTTTAGGGTTTTAGGGTTTTAGGGTTTTAGGGTTTGAGGGTTTTAGGGTTTTAGGGTTTTAGGGTTTTAGGTTTCTAGGGTTTTAGGGCTTTAGAGTTTTAGGGTTTTAGGGCTTTAGGGCTTTAAAATAGGGTTATTGGGGGACTCGGCTTTGGACCTACAGCCTAAGCAAAGCAGAATGTTCGAAGAGACAGGGGGGGGAGGTCTGTTGGCCCAAGTGGGGCTGGGAGTGTCAGTTCTTTGCACCTTACCGGTTTGGGGGGGGGGGGGGTTTGCTTTGCTTGGGATGTAGGGGATGGGTTTAGGGTTTAGGATTTAGGGTTTAGGGTTTAGGGTTTAGGGTTTAGGGTTCAGGACTTTTGGGGACTGAAGGCCCAAGGAACCCTTAGGAGCCAGGACATGGGGAGGACAAAAGAAAAAGGGGGCGCCCACTTCGATATCCAGCCTGTAAGCCCTCAGCCCCAAGCCCTAAACCCTAAACCCTAAGCCCTAAACCCTAAACTCTAAACCTCGGCTGGCCTCAAAAAACCCTCTGAAAAAAACTATTCCTGAACATGATCCTCTTCAGCCCAACTAAGGTAAGATGCACAAAAAGTCCCAAGCGCCTCTACCCTTCCCCACATCCGAAGCCGAGCATGGGCCCCAAGACAGACAGCCGCGGAGCCCTACTTGGAGGTTCATGGGCACTTCTACCCCCAATTTGTAGCTGTACTTAAACAAGCCCTCTAAGTCCCCTAAGTAGGTTCTAAGTAGACTTACAAGTGGAGTGAGTACAGCAGAAAAGCCACACTAACAACCCCAATATAGGGGGTATTTGAGGGTAGGGGAAGCACAGGATCCGCCAGGCTCGAGCCCTAAGCCTGGAGCTCCTAGGGGCTGGCCCAAGGCCGAAACCTCCGCTTCAAAGGCCGATAAGCCCAACCATGGAGATGAAGAAAAGCTTCACGTCAACCTGTACTTGAGGCTTGCATCTGCATAGGACAAGGGGTTGGCCGTCGAAAGCAACACATGCTCTGCAGGGTTTCTAAAGGGTTGCTGGGCTGTTTAAAGTCGTATAAGGTGTTGTGGGATTTCTAGGCTTTGCAAAGCTAAGGGCCTAGGGCTCATGAGCTTTCGGGGTCAGGGCTTCAGGCAGGATTTTAGGGACTTTTTGGCTTCCAAAGGTCAGCAGTCCTGCTTGCAAGGTGAGACAAAATGCATCTGAGGCGCATTAGCTGCGAAGCTGCGCCGAGACTGCGCAGGAGCCCTTCAAAACCGGCTGTACAAGGGTTGCAATCGAAAGTTGGAAGAGCAGCTTGAACCCAAACATCGAGCAGCCTCTCCCGAGAGTGCTCTCAACCTAGGCCCCAAATGGCCCCAAGAATACCGGATACGGCGCCCGACGGTGCTCCCAGCTTTTCCATGCCGGACCGTGACTCTGGGAAAGCCTTCGGGCTACTTGCGATCTCGACTGCGAAGCGTTGCAACGCTGACCAGGTTCCGAGCGCAGGCGAAGACCAAAGTTGCAACCAAGAGCATGAGGCACATGAAAAAACAGGAGCCTTCAAGCAGGTGATCTGCATTGCCTTGGTCCTGGGCTGTCTCTTGAGTGATATTCATAGCCCTTTATCTCCCTACCAGAATTCAGCCCCCATTCTTCCTTGCAACCTCTACCTCGGCTTCTGGATTAATTAGGGGTCGGCAGCAGCTGCATCGCTTGAGATGCTCCACAAGCTCGAACAACATCAACCTATTCATATTACTGCTTGCCTACCTTTTTAAACAGTGAAGCGACAAACGCTGAACAGTTTCAGTTAAGTCTCCACAAAATCCACCTTCCAACATAGGTCCTCCAATTGGAGCATCCCGACAAAGGCAGCCACCACGATCACAAGGATCAAGCCTGGGGAAGCTCGAGTTGAAAACAGCGACATTCCATGGCGCAAGAGGCCCTGAACTTTTTACACCCTGGAAGGTTCAGCGCAGTTGTGCACATCGTGCAGAAGAGCCCCAAATTAAACAGCGAATTTGGCCAAGCAGCAATTCATGACAACCCCGCCGCAGCAGCCGCAATACTGGCGACGCCACAAAAGGGCAAGCGTAGAAATAATCCAGAAGATCACCTCAAACCGGCATTCGGGTTCATGACAGGGTAGGAAAAAAAGTTTGCAACATGCCGCAGGTATCCAGCGAGGCTTCGGGCCGTGTCTCCTGCATGAACTGCTGTGAAGGAGCCGGCAAAGCCCCGAAAGTCCAGGCGATTCCACGGGCGAGTTCCCGGAAAGCTCCCGACGTCGTACCCCTCAGGATGTAATGTACCAGAGTTACAAGAGAGGCTTAGTCTGATCGAGACCTACTGAAGAGGAGTCACCAGACATGCCAGAAATGCATCCGATTCCAAACTAAGCCAGGGGCTCCTCAGCGGCTTTCACCGCTACCCGGTCCATGTGGTACCAGAACAAGGGCAACGAAGCAGCCGCACACTGCTTGTAGGTGAAGATCTTCTTCGACAGCTGGTCAACCAGACCTCAGACCGACTCACCACATGTTTGCACTGTTCTGATCTCTCCTGCGCCTGGACAAGCCCGGCAAAACTAGGTGCCCGCAAAACGTACCATTGGAAGCGCCCGGGTGCAGTCTAGCACTTCCGTGCGCACTCGTTCCTCAAAGCTCTCGACGGTGCCAAACCACGTGACAATGCAGCGAAGAACAACCTGTCGGTCACAGATCACCTCTTCGCCCTCGTCGGTATGGTCTGTCAACTCATTACAGCACCAGCAGCGGCTTTCTTTGACGGTGAAGCTTGCGAGCTCTGTCTCCAGGAGCTTCGCAGACCGGTAGTACGCGCGCAGCGCAGCAACGCTCACGTAGAAGGACGCGAAGGCGAAGAGAGCCGCGACCACCATTCTTTCATTTCTAATGACATCCTCTGGGATAAGTGCGAGGGCAAGCAGAACAACCGACAGGGCGATGGGCAGCGAGATGAAGCCAGGTCCCAGAACCTTAAGGTTTGGGGTTTAGGGTTTGGGGTTTGGGGTTTGGGGTTTAGGGTTTAGGGTTTAGGGTTAAAGGGCGGTTGGGGGCTTGGGTGGTCGTGGTCTTGAGCCGCTTGAGGCTCTCCCTTTTTCAGCACTGGACCCGCGCAAGAAAGGGAATGGCAACGATTGCGATTGGACCAAGGAACTGTCGGCCGAATGGTGAGCTTCGCCGGCTTGTTGGCTGCTCGGCTGTGCAGAAAACCAGCCATTTCAAACACCTACAGCACGATCAAGAGACGAATACATTCGCAAAGGGAAAAAGTCGGACTATCAAGTGCCAGGAATGCAGCAGCCACAAGAAGATCTATACGACAAGGCACACACCAGAGGCGACGAGATATACGACGGATCCCAGAAGACCTGGGCTGCAATAGGATCCTCTTTCATCCCCAACAACGCAACCCGGGGCCGAGCGGCAACGAGTGTGTCTGAGATCTTCAGGAAGGCCCCCATGCTGACAAGAGCTGCAGTCTTCCTCTCCGAATCATGTTGGTCAATGCACAGAATGTCCACGAAGATGCGGTGCCACGGCCGCCAGGCAATCAGAAGGAAGCAGTACAAGAAGAGGCCCACGGCCATGCAGATGCAGGAGTCTCGGCTGCGCACATCTTCGGAGGAACTTTGGGTTTAGGTTGAGGGTAGATGGGTAGATGGGTCGACGGTCGAGGGTTTAAAGATTGGGGGCTTCGGGCTTCGGGCTTCGCTCTCCCCAAAGTCTGGGGCAAAGTTGAAGCCTCCACTCTTTCATTCTGAGGTCCTAAAACTGGTCTGCTTCTTCGCAGATGCTACCAAAGACATGCTTCTTCAGTATTCAAGCCAGGCACCGGGTGGATATGCTGGGGCCTGCTGGAACCGAGGGACTGGCAAGATCCCAAACCCGACAAGCAGGCCTATTGCGACCGAGCCGAGGGTGGCGAGAAGCGACGCGTACCAAGAGTTGTTCAGGTAGATGGCCGTCCAGATCTTCTTCCACTGGCCTCCGTGCCAGCTATGACTCCAAAACTCATCTATATGGTCGGCCCGGAAACTTTCGCGGCGTTGGCCGCGGCGATTCCTGCGGCGAAAAGCACGGCCCAAGCCGCTGAGAGCTTGCCAGGCAGACACCGCTTGAATGATGTCTGGTTGTTGTGGCTCCATTCTGGCGATCACTCCGGCAATGAACTGCTCCGCAGCTTGCCGGGGACACGCCGCGGACTCTGAGTCGGATGAGTCCACGGAAGGTTCACGGTCGGCCATAGACCCCTCAGGGGAGCCACCCTCGGCCATGGACCCCTCCACCTCCATGCGTAGAAATGGCGCACCGACGTGCCGAAGCCTAAGGCTTTAAAGAGGTCTCAGCCACTCCTACCACTGAAAATAGCGCGGAAACAACGCGCAAAGCGACACAAGCTGCAGACCATCTACCTGCAACCTTATAGCGCAAAACAAACTTTCCGAAGCTTAGCCGGCATCTTCTACCTTCGTCAGAGCCCTTCATCTCAGTGCCAACGGCATCCCGTTGTCTGACGCAGCGTTTGGTGCTGGGTGTAGGAAACTTGGTGGAGCAAATGTGTCCCTAAGAATTTCTTAAACTTAACAGCCGATCACAGAATTGCCTTGAGGAAGGTGTTGTTCTGCCGGTCCGCGCAGGCCTGCGATGACCTCGCAGGGTCGCAAGGACGGCGGAGAGCGAACCGATGTCGGAGGTCATACGGTGATACGCAGTAGCTTCAGCATCTTTCGCTCAAGTGCTCGCTCGCGTTTGTGCCCAGTGTGTGACATTCCCAGTGGTTGCTAGCCAATCTTCGATAAAGCCTCTAGCAAGCAGGAGTTTCAACTAGCTCAGCAGCAGGAGGATGGCGAAAAGCCCGAGATATTTGGGCCTTAGCTACCGGACCAACTGCTACGCCATGCTGCCCTCAGAAACTTGAAGCCTAAAGAACGAACAGAACAGCTAAAGTGGACAACCCACTCTCTCAAAAAAACACGGCTGTGGCTCCAAGTCAACCACGTGACAATCTCCAAAGCAAAACTAAATTACACACTGAACACGATCAAATCTTACATGGGCAAGCTTGCCAAAAAGCAGATCATTCCCATCGCGAAGGCTAAGAGAAACCTGCAAAGTCAATTTGTGGATTCAAACTTGTCGTCGCCGCCTTCGGTGCCATGGCAGCAGACAGAGTGGTCGTGCTTTCAAAAGCGACCCAGCGACAATACACACATGCACAGAAGAACTGACATATTGGCCCCCTTTGAGGTGTACTTTCTTACGCTCGTTTGCATGCTATCATGTCCGGTCGACGTTCAGATGATCGACCCGAGCAGCTGCGCAGCTAAATGGATACAAACGGCATCACAACACAAAGCGCCAGACCGGGCGAATGCCTCTTCGGCTGCTACTTGCACGACTGCTTGATGGGCTTGCAGGATGCCGGGCGTTGGATCAGAGACATGGAATTCAACGAACCAAGACTGCAAGATCCCTCGGCCCGGTCTAGACTTCCGTTTTCCGACGCTGCTTTGGCATCCACCGGCGCTTGCAAGGTTTCCTTTTGGAAAGGGGTTTCGGGTTGAGGGGCTTTGGTTGTGTCCTTTGCAACCTCAGTGCTCCAGCTGGCCAAAATGCCAGCCCAACCGGTGACACGAGCGCAGTGAGACATTTCAGGACCCCCCACCGAGCAGGCGCGGCCTGCTTTCAGGCTGGGCAAGGTGGAGCCTGGGTCTTGTACCCTGGCAGGGGTCGGAGTCGGAACATCTGAAGCCCGAAAGACCGGGTTTCAGGGTTTGAGCCCCTGAGTGTCTATAGGGTTTTGTCTGCAAGGGGGACGCTCCATCAATCTTCAATAAACAGCGATAGGCACCCGAAAATAATTCAAAGATATTCCTTCATTAAAGGTACGGCTTGGGTCTTCCCTAAACCCGAAACCACAAATCCTTGGCGCCTTGTATATCTACGTGTTTAGATTCATGTTAGGCTTAAATCAGCTGTAGGGTAAAGGAGACTTTAGGAATTCCGTAGGTTTCAGAATGAAGTAGGTTTGGAGCTCTTAGAAGTTAAGCCCCCTAAGTCTTCCTGTAGATCCGGTACACCCTGTAAACCCAGTAAACCCTAAGTAGCCCTAAAAGCCCTAAAGCCCCCAGACCCTGAGAACCCGAACCGGCCCTAACCCCCCCCCCCCCCCCCCCTGCCCAAAAATAGCCCTCACCAGCGGCGGCTGCGGCGTCTCGCGGCCCCTGCCCGGCCCAGCCTTGCGGTCCAAAAGTTGGCTTTTCAGAGCGTGGTGCTGTTTAGGGTCTTTAGGGTTTAAATTTAGGGCTTTGAGTAAATTGGCGTGCGGCTCAGTTTACGTCGAGGTGTAGGGCATACTTGCAGGTTCATTGGTAACTCTCAAGTATTGGGCTAGAAGGCTAGAAGTACCCTATGTGCAGATCATGCATGAGAGCGGGAACACGATATGTTGCATGCTATTTGCAATGGAAACCCTGTTTCGGAAGCCCCGAAGAAACTCCCGCAGGCATGATCACGCCGAGGCGAGAGCGCGAGCCTCAACGAGGGCGAGAGCCGGCGTCCCGGGCGCGTACGCCTTACTAGATGTTGGGCCTCTTCTACGTGTAGCACATTCAATCCCTGAAAGCCGGTCGAAGAGACCCTAAACCCATCAACGCAGCTCGGCATGCACATAGGTAGGGAAACAAAAAGGTTGGTGCGTCTACAAACCACATAGGGCACAAATGTGAACACACCCCCTCCAGGAAGAAAATTGCAACCCTCAAGCTCTACATGAACCCTAAGCCCTAGACCTTCAGACCCGAAACCTTCTGTCGGAGTGCGCACGTCAAGCGCCCCAGGCATGTCTTTGCGAAACTTGAAACCGTACAACTAGAAGGCCTATATTGAACGTTGAACCCCAGAAAAAATTGTAACTTTAGCGGTTTCTCAACAAAACATAGCACCCAAAAGCTAAAGGCCTTTTCCAAGCATCCCTAAGACTCGACACGCCAGGCCTTAAGCCCCGACCCACCCGGCAGCCCCAGGGGCCAGCGCCTCATTGCAGCTGCAGCGTCTTCCACAGCGCTGTCGGTGCCTAGAGACAATGCGGTATCAGGTGTTTAAAGTCAGGATTTCCGGAAGGTGAGAACTTTGTCGCTCCCAGCCCTAGCTTGTTCTGGCAGCTAGCATCCGTGAACGCGGAGGCGTAAACTTGAGAGCCATGAAGTTCACAGCGGCATTCCTTGGCACCCCCCTTGGGATCTTTTGTTTACGAGGCTTTTGAGGCTCCAATCCCGCCATCACGCTAGTGGGACTTGCTCAACGTCGCTTGCATGTGTTCCCAAAGGGCATGTTTTGGCTTAAATTCCCGTTCCCAAACGACCGCGCCTCTTGGGGGAGCCATCGTGGGCCTTACTAGAGCATGCTTGTTGGACTTGTACTAACTCATGCCCTTGTTCCGTCCAACTTTTCCGGAAGGCCCTCTTGGTTGAGTTTTGGTTGAGTTTTTGTACGCCAGTGCCCTCGCCCAAGGTGGGGTGCAGAAGCGAGGCATGTTCCACTTAAGCTGAGAAAGTGTCTGGGGCAGAGTGCTTCCCGGTTTCCCCGTGGCTTCAGCTCCTGCCCGTGCCCTCCGTTTCCTGCTCTGCCCCTCCCCACCCCCCCCTCCGCACCCGAAGCTCGCATCTGGCGTGGTCCGCGGCCTTGTCCCCTGCATGATTCCCCACGAGGCTCGTGGGATGGAAATGTGCTTGGGTTTCATGGGCTTTGGGCATGAAGCTGCACTCAAGACACTCGGCTCTACTCTGAATACCTTTGGGCCCGAGGAGCCTCTGCCAGGACACCAAGCAAACCGGATCCACGCGCAAGAACACATGCGACCGAGACAGGAAGCTACTGCGAAAGACACGCGCCTCCTCCACAGAGTCCAGCGGCGAGTCCACCGACCTTGAAGTTTGGGTAACCCTAAACCCGAAACCCGAAACCCGAAACCCGAAACCCGAAACCCTAACGAACGAGTGTGAAGGCCTCCTCTGCATGGGTATAGGGCCTTGATCGCCCGCTCAGATGCAGATGCAGATTGGGCCCCCGGCGAGAAGGGTGGCGTGAAGTGGGATAAGGGTAGTCCTTGGATACATGTTGTGTCTTCTGCAACCGTGGAGTCTGCGGGAGACGCAGCTCAAAGAAGGGCCGGCACGGTTCATGCGGTGCGCCTCCATCATTCTCCCTTGCTTGTGGGCACAAGGAGCCTAGCTGCAGAATGATGAACTCATTTAACCCAGTACACCCTTCATCGTAAGTAACACCCTATGCTCACCGCAAAGTGTCCTCAAAGCACCCCTGTACCCTGCACAAAGCTTCACTCCGCCCAGGACCCACTTGTAGCCCTCCTGACTTGGTCCTTTTGAGACCCCATATGCACCCTCAACCCTAGATTTCAACAATCTGAATTCAAAAGCCCCAAACATCCGCAACCCTATGCCCTTGTGAGGCTACTGTAGGTCTGCTTGAAAGGTTTTAAGGCATTTTGCGACTGAGCGTTTAGAGCTTCACGGTTTTCGGCTTGCAGTTGAGCTATGTCTCGGACTTCGTTTGTAACGTCTTATTACAAGAGGGGGTTTTGGATTGCGGAAAAAGAGGGCTTGGGGTTTGGGCTCTGGATTTCGGACCGATGAATACTGCCTAAGCCCAAACCCCCCCCAAACCTCGAAACCCCCCATAGCCCCGAAACACACCCCAAACGCTAAACCCTAAACAGCCCTAAACCCTAAAACCCAATCCTGAAACCTGGAAATCTAGAGCCCCCCGTAGACCCTAAACATGACCCATGGCCCTCAAAAAGAGCTGAGAAACCGAGGAGGCCCGCGTCCTGCGAAGGCTTTCTAAGGGTCGGAGACTTAGGCTTCTCGGATACGCACAAACGGTGTTGGAGTTTAGGGCTTATCTGGCCTAGAAGCGAAACCCTAAAGCCCCTAAATCCGAAATAGACCCAGGTTGCGTTTAGGTCGCTGTGTTTAGGGCCGAGATTCACAAGTCTAGCAACCTGAAACCTCCCGAAACTTGTGCCAATATGCCCCACTCAACACAAACCCAAAAAGGCTCAAGCTTTTTCGGGTGTGGGGTCTAGGCCCAATCCAAAACCGTAGACTTGATTCCCAGCACACATTTTGCACCAGAAGCTACAGCTTTCACATCCTCAACCATACCCTGCCACCCGATTCAAACAACAACAAATCCTCGACCCATACACCCCAAATACTACAAATCCTGCGCTTGGTGGTCTAGGGGGGGGTGGGGGAGGGTGGGGCGGGGG